CGCCACATTGTGCAATCAACTCACACCACTCCTCTTCTAATATCAAGTCCAAGTTTAAGAAATTTTCTACTCTTTGGAGAAAAATTCCAGCTCCCATCCATTCAATGCTTAGGAACCGGTTGATGGAGACAGATTAGTGTGATTCAACACGTGGCACCATCACACGAATGTGAAATGATACATGAGGATGCACCAAATCACATCCATCCCACCCTTCCATTTCCTCACCTATCATTATTTTTTTCATGCCACACGCATATTAAAATATAAATAATTCAAATTTTCTTACACCAGAAATTAATTCTATTAATTTTTTGGCGAATTCTTTTTCAACTAAAATTTAAAGCAATTGGATATTAAGTTTTTTCTAAAAATATCTTTTTGTCGCCTTTTCTTTTGAAACTTAATTTTATACACCAACATTTTCAATCCTTCTATTGCTATATTCTGAAAAAAAAAAAAAAAGGAAATTCAGTTTTGTTTTGCAACGTATGTTTTATAAAGTATGTTACAAAATTAATTTTCAAGAATATAAAATGAATAAAAAATTCAAGGACTCTATATCGTCTCATTAATTTAACCGAAGCTGCCATATGTTGGTATTTTATATATTTTTCATTTTTTAATTAGAAAATTGATTTTTTTATAAAATAAATAATTTAAACTTTCAATATTTCTTTTAATAAATCCAAATTCATACATTCATATAAATAGTAATAATAAATATAACGTGTTGTTTGTCTTTATTTTAGCTTGTTCTTTAAACTATTTAAATTAAAATAATCTTAATTTTATTTAGAAAAATTACTAGAAATTTGTTGTATTTCAAAACAACAATCATAACTTTTAATACTTGTTTTACAATAATTTTAGTTTGGTTTTCAATTTTACATAATATTAATGTTAAAAATAAATTTATCTGAGATTATTATTTGGAAATGAAATCATTTTACCGTTGTCCTTGACACATCTCACTAGTTTCTGTATATTCGTATCATATATTTTCTTGTACCAACCTCTTTGGTTCATATATTTTTTTTCTTGGTCTCTTTTTACCTATACTCTCTCATTTAAAAAAAAAAAAGNAAAAAACTTTGATCCCTTTCTTCTTTTTAACCAAAATTATAGAGGAAATTGAATTTTTGTTAATATAATATGGACATTATAAATTTTACTGAAATGATAAGAATCATACTAAAATGTTTAACAAAGGTCAACTCTAAAATTATCAGAATAACTATATAATTGAAGGAAAAAATTCTCAATCTTGTCCATTTGTGTAAATTTGTCATTGCCCCCACTAGAACCTTCTTGGGTCAGTTAATGTAAGGCATACAGTTGTAGACCCCACTCTCTAAAACCTACAAAATAAACTTCACCACGTTTATAAGTATGCATCTTCAGAATCCACATCTTTCACCGATCAATCCAAAAATTAATCAAGACATATTTGTGTATTTATTTTAAAATTAAAATTTTTTAGTTTATTTCTTCCATGGATATTCTTTTTTCAAAATAATTGAAGTTATTAAGATATAGAGAGTAAATAAAATGTACGTAATTTCAATAACGAAGTAAGGTCTATATATATAGACCACCAAAATAAGTTACACACAGTAACACAATAATCTAATAACTAATCAAACCAATTACAAAGTTTAATAGAAGTAAGTAAAAACAAAATTATGTCACTAAATACTCACATGCACAAACTCTAATATGTAAATTAGATGCAGTAATTAACTAAAAAAATTATCAAAATTTGTTATCATGGAAATACCATGATAGCCTTTTGCCTCATAATTATGAGAATCCATCTCTCTTTCCCTTTCCAACATTTTTCCATTAAATTGAAAAATATTTGCATCTATAAGACTAGCTAAAACTAAAGAAGCTAGGGGGGGTTGAGCATATGAGAAAGTTCAAGCAAGCTATGGTGGCTCAGAATAATGCCTGTGGAGCTATGAATCCTCTTATTAGTAAATGCGTGGGAAAATTACTTCAAGGTAAATTTTGTGGTGCGAAGTTGACTAAGGAGAAACCCTTTTCCATTAGATTGATATTTTGAACATCAGATTAATTTTTCTTAGAGATTAATAGTGTGTTTGAAAAAAAAAAGATTTTTAAATAAGATCGTTCCCCTTAAGGCACTTCATTCATTTTCACATCAAATTAAAGTAAGGGCGGATTGAGAATGATTTTAGAAAAAATAGATCAATTATAATTATTTTGGTTTTTAGATAATTATTTTAATGTTTGGTTATACACTTTTTCAAGTGATTTTTCTATAATTAAAAATGATTTTGAAAGATTAATGTTTTAAGTTTAAACCGGTAATTTGACAAAAGTTTCAGAGAGAGTAGTTACAAGGGAACAAAAATCTTATAGGGTGGAAGATAAAAATTTTAGAGGGATAAATAAACTTTAAAAACAGATGGGCGCTAAAAACTTAGAGAGATTACAAAATTTTTTAGATGAAAAGATTAGGAAAACAAACAAAATTAAAGATAAGTAAAGTTAAAAGCGTGACACAGTTTTTTGAAAAGAAAATATTTCTCAAAATTTAAGGTGGAAGTAGGGTGAAATAGAAATACATATTTGAAATTCAAAATCATAACTATTTTTAAAACTAATTTTGAACCAATAATTACTTGAGAAATTACAATACTGTAATTTTGGATTTTTCTAAAATCATCACAGAATCATTGCCAAACCTATTGTATACGTTTAAAATGACTAATAAATCTAAGTGGAATTGTAATGAAAAGTTGAATGGAGAGAATTTTAATAAAGATGAGGTATTTATCTTAGATAGTTCCTTAAACAAAATTTTGTAGTTAGAATGACCTGACATAACGAGGAGTAAGAAGAATACGTAATGTTAGAGTGGCTATAAATTTAGAAGTACGGTCATAGTTCTTCAACTTTGTCAGCTCAATCACAGAAAGTTGGTGGGAAGACGTCTTCAAAACGATAACTTTCAAATAAATTAAAAAAGTATATATTTTAATAGAAATTCATAGCTACAAATATTTGTGGAGTGGAAGATAATTGAAAAGGCAAAGTATGATGGTTGCGAGTGACTATAGGAAATTAAAATCTTTTAATAACTGTTTTTAAATAAAAAAAATATAGTAGTAAAGATACTTTTATCACGAAAAAAACTCGGAAATGTAAAATTTTCAAATCCAGCCTTGTAATCTCCATTAGGGTCAAGTCCGTGCTACATTTTTTAAAAAAGTATACAGAAAAACAATATTTTGATATCTTTCATTATTTATTTTAAGTAATTTATGACAGTGCGCAACATTTTTATAGTAATTTCCAAATTTATTTATTTTTGAAATGAAAATATATAATCGTTTGGAGAATAATTGTTTCTTTATAAAATATTTTTGCAAAATAAAAATTTTTAGTGCTTTAATTTCCAAATTACTGAAGTTGGATTTGAGCACTTATCATCTAGGAAAGGATTTGCTGCTTATATAGAGGTCCTAGGTAGGACTTAGGAGGGATGAGATGGTACATATGTTCTAACTTGTATGCCGTGATGGAGAGAGAGAAATTTTAAATAAGGTAAATTTAATTACATAAAAGAAAAAAGGTAAAAGATGGTAAAAAGAAAACGTGGTGTTGGATGGTGAAAGGTATTTCCATTTATAATGTGAGAAATTAAATGTGATGGATGGTGGATGATGGATGATGGATGATGGATGGTGGGTGATGGATGGTGGATGGTGGATGGTGGATGGTGGATGGTGCACGGGAGGGAGATGGGCATTTTGGGAAGTTTGAAAAGGTTTGGTTTGATGAGTCCGGTTTGGTTTGTTTGTCCCTGAAATATGTTGAAAGTTGAGGTGAGGGGCAGGAAAAATTCATCTCATCGGTCATTTCTGTTCTGGGATGCTGTGAAAGGAGAAGGAGGGCCGAAAAGCCAGTCCACCGCAATCCGACGATCTGATTCTGAACAACCAAACCAACGTACACACTCCTCTTCTCTCATCTCATCTCATCTCATCTCCTGCACTAATTACTAATTACTAATTCACCGATACGCGATAAGATTGTTTCTTTTTCTTTTTCTTTTTCTTTTTCTATTTGATTCTAACAGGAAACTCAGACTTCGCTACCCCTCTCTCTAACTTTCTCTTCAATTCGCGCACAGGGTTTTTCGTTTTCCTTTCGATCCTCCTCAATTTTGTTTCTGCTCTCTTACTCCTTCTACTCAACGATCTCCAGGTGGGTTTGGTCGTTTACCATTCCAAATGTATTAGATAACCCCAGCCCCTCAGGTAAATTTAATACTATAGGCAACCTCTTCTTTGACCCCTCTTTTTTTTTTTTTTAAATTCTTTTTTGCCAATACTTTTCCTATTCCCTATCTCACGCATATCTTGATCATGGGATTTCAATTTATTTTTCAGAAACAAGATTGCAAAAGCTCGATCTTGATACGCAGACCTCTCTCTCATCATGGCGGTTGCTGAGAATGTTGGCCCCAAAATCGGCTCTCCAAGTCAAACTTTGGATAATACTATGGTTTCCTCTGATTCTAATGAAGCCAAGGGTGTTGAAAATCAGAAGCCTAAGAACGATTCTACGGGTCCGATGAATGCAGAACCCGACTTTCATCCCAACGGTAATGATCAGAATATTCACAAGAAGGCACAGCTTCAGGAGAGAGCAGCTGCGGCAACTTCTTTTACACTTCCTTCCAATTTCAAGCCTCAAATGGGTCAGATGCCAAACGGGTTTGAAACTAATGGGGTTAAGAACCAGCAGCTGATGGTGAAGTCTGCTGCTGCTGCTGGTTATGGAATTAGTATGTCTAATGGAGTGAGAAATGGACCTGATGGAGGTGAAAACTTCAAAAGAGATATGAGGGATCTGGAGGATTTACTATCCAAATTGAATCCCATGGCTGAGGAATTTGTCCCTCCTTCGCTGGCCAAAAGTTTTCCCGGTTACTTTGGCAGTGCGCTTGGGTATACTAACGAGTTTCTATTGCAAGCTAATTCTGTCAACAACGACGGGCATACTAATCGAAGGGTATGTGAGGCTTTTGGTTGTTTTGAAAGATGTTGAAATGATATTGATACTATTATTAAGCTTTGAATGCTGTACATTTTGTTTTCAGTTTTAGAGAACAAAACCCATTAGAAGTTAAACATGGCTGATGGTCTTCTAGGGTTGAGTGTTGAGGTTTTTGTATATTTTAGGTGTTCCTTCTTTAGGTTTGTACTGCAGTGAACCTGTTGGAAGTGTTCATCTATATCATGTATTATTTGATTTTAGAGAAACTATTTTATTTCTTTGATTTATGTTGAATGAATCTCCAATTGATTTAGATTTCTTTGTTTTCTCTTTGTTTCACTTAGAAGAAGAATGGTTTTAGTCAAGGTAGACGGAGGATGAATAATAAGATGAATGCAGTGAAGCGAGATGAGATGACTCGGAGGACAGTGTATGTATCTGACATCGACCAGCAGGTAAGAGTGAGAACTCCTGATTATATGCCTTGCCACGGTCATTTTTAACCTATTCATTTCTTACTTGTATTGTGGAATTGCCATGTTCTGATTATAGGTGACTGAAGAACTACTTGCTACTGTCTTTGCTAGCTGTGGAGAGGTAACGGGTTGTTCTCTTTTTCCATTTTGTTATCTGATTCTTGGCATTTTAGTTTTTACTGTCAGCTTAGCTTCATCTTGTGTCTTCTTCAATAGGTTGTTGACTGTCGAATCTGTGGTGATCCCAACTCCATTCTTCATTTTGCCTTTATCGAATTCACTGATGAAGGTACAATTCCAAGCTCAGGACCACATTTCATGGATGCATTTTGTACTTGATATGATATCTAATTTACTTCGTGCTACAGAGGGTGCAAGATCTTCCTTGAATCTTTCAGGCACAGTTCTTGGTTTCTATCCAGTCAGAGTGCTGCCCTCAAAAACTGCAATAGCACCTGTCAATCCTGACTTTTTACCCAGGGTTAGGATTGTCTTAACTGTCCTCATTGTCATTCATCAACTTTACTACATTATAATTCGCTGTTATGATGCTATCAACTCCTTTCAATTTATTCTTAATTGGTTTTCTTGTGTTTTATTGTTTCTAGTCGGATGACGAACGTGAGATGTGCTCAAGAACTATCTATTGTACAAATATTGACAAGAAGGTAGATTTGAAATTGAAAAATCTTTTGGAATGTATTTGAGACCTTATTTTTTGAAGATGAGAACATGAAAGAACGTAGATATGCATGATTTCTTCATTGATTGTTTACATGTCATGTCATATAGGTTACTCAAGCAGAGGTTAAACTGTTCTTTGAATCACTATGTGGAGAGGTTTGCTATTCCTCGTATAACATATTTCATATTATCCAGGCTTTAATTTGATTTTCTTTGCAGTGCTTTTTTGTTTTCTGGTTGTGACTTTCTATGTCGTCTGATAACCTTTTGTAGGTTCAGCGCCTTAGGCTACTTGGAGATTACCATCATTCCACTCGTATAGCATTTGTTGAGTTTACAATGGTAATCTTGTTCTCTTCCAGTTGATTTTGTAGCTTCGTCTGTAACCCTTTCCCCTGCCATGTTCACACGTTTTTCTTATCTTTTTTGGGGGTTGGGGGAGGGTGGAGATATAGTATTGGAGTGGCAGTGAGGCGAGGATGGATGCCATATCAACCAGTCTGTTGTGGTTCTTGTATTTACCATTCACTAATACATATTTGCTTTTGTGGTGTATAGAATGCATTCAGACCACCTGCTTTTATGTATTAAATCTATCTATTGGTGAACTTAAAGATGCAGCAATTGATGTGGTGGCTTTAAGTTTGCATTTCGCCTCTGCCGAGCGATGTCAAATATCTTTGCAATGATATTTCATTTTTTCAAATCATCTAATATACAATTATTTTCATTTCAGTGTGTTTATTGTTTTTTTTTTTGGTGAATATCAAAACAGTACCTATGCTTTTAAAGTCTTTCTAGAAAACAGTGGTTACCCACTGATGAGTCATACTTTCGCAGTTACATGATTGTTCTCTTATGCTTGGCTGTAACTTCACCGTAGCTTTGCATAAGTGTTTGCATTTGTAATTTTCAGGCCGAAAGTGCCATTGCTGCTCTTAACTGCAGTGGAGTTGTCTTGGGTTCCCTGCCAATAAGGTTATTATAGCGTGTTCCTGTTTTCCTTTTTCGTTTTTGGGGATTTAAATAATAAGGCATCATGTTTCCGTTTGAAAAAGTATAACCATTCTGATTCTTATGGGTTTGTTTTCAGGGTGAGCCCATCAAAAACCCCAGTTCGTCCTCGCTCTCCTCGTGCTCAGCTGAACTGAATGAATGATCCCTGCATCTATCCCATGTCGGCCTGGTGCGCCCGATAGATATATTTATATATATTGCA